ACACATATGGTGATTATCATGGGACAGGCTAACATTTAGTGAACACTTACTTAGTTTGCTGTGGGTTAAACAGACTGCTAACAACAAGGTCAACAGACTTAAACCCATGGTGGGAGGAAGATGAGGCTGTCTGCACCTGTATAGATTCGCAGTCTGTACAGGAAATGCCCCGAGGAGCATTTCTACTCTATCCTATAGCTTCGATATGGGTCAGAATTGACTCTAAGCAGTGGATTAGTGTGTCATTTACACATTACAGCTGTAATCCTTTTAACCATCACAACAACCCAGCAAGGAATGCATCTCTGAGTATCTTCATTTCATAGACAAGAAATAGAGACACGGAGAGATTCATTTTTCTTGCTTAAAATCCTATCTCGTGGGGAGATAGGGTGGAGGGAGGGAAGAAAGAGGAGCTGATATTAAGGGCTCAATAGAAAGTAAATGTTTAGTAAATAATGATGGCAACATATGTACAAATATGCTTGATATAATTGATGTATAGATTGTTATAAGAGCTGTAAGGGCCCCCAATAAAATGATCTTTTAATTAAAAAATAATCATCTCTAGTAAGTGGTCCATGAATTCTCAGCTTCCCAGTCCTTAATCCAAGCGTCATCTAATATTTTTGTTGTATGGCTTAAGCTGTCTTATTAAAGTTTTTGTTTTAAGTGTGAGGGCTTCCCCCTCAAAAAAAAAAAAAGGTGCCTCTGGTCTCTGTGTATTGAGAGAGTGACCCCCTTGGCAACACAAGATTAGGGCGGCTGCGGGGAGACGCAGGCCCACGCATTGATGCTGGCCCAGGCTAGACCTTCCGGAGCCTGGGCTTATCTGCGACATTAAGCCAGCAATCAGCAGATACCAGCTGCAGAGTGGAGTGGGGAGCAGGGAGCCCTGGCTGAGATTGACTGGAGGTGGGTGGCTTTCCCAGAGGAGAGGAAGGGACAGCTGGAGGACCCTTGGGAGGCCAGGGCAGTGGCTTTGTAGCAGACTGTACAAAGTGTTTTGATATTTTCAAAGCAATAAATACCTACCAGTGTTTCCTGACCAAATGTTAGCGTGGCCTATGATCAGGCAAACATATTATGTCTTTTATGAGGGTCTACTGGTTTGGGGTCATTTGCGTGTAGCAAAGAAGAGCCCACTTTGCTTCTATGTGTTCATTTCTTCCAGGTCCCCAAGAAGGCTGCCTCAGTAGTGTGACGTACGCATCTATGATCCCTCTTCCTGTGCTGCAGAACTACCTAAGGCTGGTAAGTCCGCGCTGCGGGGTGCAGTCCCCCGGTTCTCATCCCTGACCCTGGTATGCCTGGCCAGTTTCTATATTGAGAAGACGGTGGGCCCCACCCACACTGTGCCCTACACCCTGACACCCTTGCCTTCCCCAGCAGCCCCCTCCCTGGAAAGCTGTTCATTGCGCAGTTTCGGAATGGGTGACTGTCACATCCAGATGGCAATTGCCTGGCCCCGGAGACCACCTGTGACTTGTAGAACATTATAATTTAAGCAGGAGGAGGCTGTCTTCCAAAACTAAAGACCTGGCATCAAGGACATGATCATCAGTGTGGAAGGGAACAGGCGGAAGTTGAGGTGCAGTGCTGCAAACGTAAACCAAACCAAAACTCCACACTCACTGCCTTCAAATCGATTCCAACTCAGGGACCCAAGAAACATGCCTCTTAATAATTAAACAACTGTGCAGCATTCATTAGGGTATTGACTTGCCATTTAATAGAAGCCAAAGAGTAGCAACTTAAAAGGATAGAAAGGTTAATTTCTCTTATACATAAAACCCCTAGTGGACGTGAGGTTTAAGGCTAAGGGGTGGGGGTAGGCAGGTGCCTTCCTTAGTGAGAGGTCTGTTGACCCAGCACCCTCTCTCCTATCGCTCTGCAGTCCCTTGGGATGTTGTTGTGCCCTCTTGGTCAGAGACAGTTCCCCTCTCGCAGCCCAGTCTAGCCTGAGTGAAGAGACTGCGCATGGTAGGCTCCTGCGGCTAGTTGCACTTGTCTCTCCTGCCCACCTCCCACTCGCCAGAATTGAACATGTCACCTCCTAGCCCAGATGGATGGTATGTTGGTGCCAACCAGGTGTCCAGCTAAAAATGGGTGCTTCTCTTCCTAAAAGGAAGAAGGCGAGTCTGATTATTTTAGGAAAGTTGCTTGTTCTAGAGATACAGTAAATACGGTATTTTCTCCTGCAGGGCAGCTATTTGGACTGCAAGCAGCAGGGCCAGTGTCCAACCCACCCGCTGCTCTAAGAGATAAAGATTTACAGCCTAGGAAACCCCCTAGAGGATTGCTCTGAGTCCGAACTGACTCAATAGTAGTGAGTGTTTTGTTGTTTTTATGAATCAAAATTGACTCAATGGCAGTGAGTTTGGGTTGGTTTTGCTTTATTGAGCACTTCTTGTATTCCGGTACTTGGCTCCATGTGCTTTCATCTATTATTTTATTTATTCTTCAAAGCACCTGTGTGAAGCAGGTATTGTCATCCATCTTCTCAACTCAGTTCACTGCCAGGCAGTGGAGTTCGACTCACAGCCATCCATTAGGACAGGGTAGAACTGGCCGTGTGGTCCCAAGACTGTGACTCTTTACAGGAGTAAGAAGCCTCATATTTCTCCTTCGGGACGACTGGTAGTTTTGAACTATGGATAGTATTACACTATTAGGGCTCTTATAGATGAGGATACCGAAGCCAAAAGAAGTGCTATAACTTTCTCAAAGCCATAGGACCGTAAGTGATGCGGCCAGGCTGATGTAAGTTCCTGATGTTACGCATTTGTGTGCATGCGTGTTTCCAAAGTGAGTCTTAATGGTGCAGAACATTAAGTAAACATTTTCTTGCCACCTTAACATGTAAAGTCTTTAAAAATAAAATGGAATGGTTGTATTCAGACCCTTTACAAACACTATTTCCATCAGTTCTGAACTGATGTCTTTGTCTTCTTTCCTGATGAAAGGAAGTATTCAAAACCACCCGCTCATCTTCTGACTGGGCACAATGTTGGGATTGGTCCTGGTGACAGCAGCCACATTACAGTTTGAGAGAGCTGGGGGCGTGAATCTGGTATTTCCCCTTTCCCTTCTTTGCTTTATCCTACCGTTCTTCCCAAAGCATCAAAGGGACCGTGAGGGTCAAGTCTGAAAGGGCAGCAGATCCGCCCATTCTTTTGCTTCAGTGAAGGCTGAAAGGTGTGACCAACTGATTTTCAGGATTGTGACCGTCAGGCCCAGAGTTGGACCACCTGGGATAGCTCCTGCCTTCTTCCCCTTCTCACTTCTCAGCTTCTTGGAGGAAACAAGGTGCTAGATCAAAGACACTGGCCCTCCACTCACCTGTGCAACTGAGGGAATCAATAGCGAGGCCACACCAGGGAAGGGCAGCTGCCCAGTAGCCTCGACTGGGCAGATCTGTGGAATGAGAGGCTCCTAGTCACACTTCACGGAGAATGTTCCAGGTGCCCATCCATGTGTGCCTCTGTGGGTGCTGGACAGGTTTTAACTACCGGTGACCAGCAAACTAGAGACCAAATGACTG